CCAGCAGCAGGCATGTAGCTTGGAGAATGTGGGCACTTGTGAGAGGGCGAGTGCAGTGATTATAAGGCTTTGCATTGAAGTCAGCATCTCCCTGTCACAGCAGGAAGCAGGAGGAACATGTGGACAGGCCCTGGCCAAAGAGTAATTGCCCATCCCAGAGGTGAGAGCTTGAGTTCCAGCAAGCCTCATCATGCAGGCTGGAGTGCTCTGGGGCTTTAAGTGAACTTGAGGGACAATCTAGGCCACAAGGATGGCAATTCCTAGGCAAATCCTAGTGCTGAGCTGGGTTCAGAGTTGGTGGACTGGGAGACACATGACCTACTGAGACACAAGCTGGGGTGGCTAAAGGGTGCTTGTGCCACCTCTCCTTCATCCTCCAGCAGTGGGTGTGTGGCAGGGAGAAATCAGTGTACTTGCTAAAGGGAGAGCACAGCAACTGGGGGATTTTCCATTGAACTCAGTGCTGCTCTGTCACAGCAGAGACCTGGCAGGATTCAGCACTTGCTGATTAAAGAGCCCCATGGCCCTGAATACCCAACAGCAATACCCAGGTTATATGTGGTGGGCCTTGGGCTCTGAGATATACTGGCTTCAGATGTGATCTCGCACATTCCCATCTGTGGCAGCTACGGTGAAAAATGCTTTCTATTTGAGAAAAGCAAGGGAAAAAGTAAAGGGGACTCTATCTGGCACCTTAGGTGCCTGCTTGGCCTCAGTGGGGTAGGTCACCAACCAGACTCTTGAAGTCCCTGAGTCTAGGCCTAGGCTCTTGGTTAGCATTTCTAGACCTGCCTTGGGCCAGAAAGGAACCCACTGTCCTGAAGAGTGAGTCCCAGGCCTGGAAGCATACATCAGAAACCAACGAAAGAGCCTTTAGGCTCTAAGTGAACATCAGGCCTAGCAAAACTCCCCATGGGTTGTTGGTGGTGACGGTGGTGGTCACAGAGAGAGGCTCCTTGGCCAATGGAAATGGGAGGGAAGAGTGGGAAGGACTTTGTCTTACGGTTTGAGTGCCAGCTTAGCTGCAGTAGAATAGAATATCAGCTAAATTTCTAAGGCTTTTTATTTCAATCCATGGCTCCAAGATAGCATCTCTGGACCCAGCTGGGGCATGGGGGAACTCACTGCCCTGAAGGGAGGGACACAAACCTGGCTGGCTTTGCCATCTGCTGATTGTAGACTCTAAAGTTTTGAGTGAACTTGGGTGATAGTGGTTATAGCAGGCCTTGGGTGAGACTCAGTACTGTGCTGGCTTCGAGTCTGAACCAGCACAGTCTCAGTGGTGGTGGCCACAGGGGTGCTTGTGTCCTCCTGCCCCCAGTTCCAAGAGGCTCAGCACAGGGAGAGAGAGACAGACTCTGTTTGTTTGGGAGAAAGTAAGGGAAAAGAACAAGAGTCTCTGCCTGATAATTCAGAGAATTCTTCCAGACTTTATCCAGGAAGAAAGGTACTGCCACCAAGGCAGTACCTTTCTCTACAAATCTGCAAGAACTGCAGCATTTTTAGGCCTCAGGCCCAAGTTCCTTAGAAGACCTGTAACACCTTCCTAAGAAGAATGAACACAAATGAGCCCAGACTTCCAATTAATTTAACCAAATTAGTGGAAGATCTTTATAATGAAAACTAAAAATCTGATGAAAAAAATTGAAGAGGATACAAAAAAATGGAAATATATTTGAATTTGATGCTCATGGATTGGAGGAATCAATATTGTTAACTTTTCCATGCTACTCAAAGCAATCTGCAGATTCCGTGCAATTCCTATCCAAATATGAAAGACATTCTTCATAGAAATAGAAAAAACAATCCTAAAATTTATATGGAACCACAAAAGACCCATAATAGCCAAAGCTATTCTAAGCAAAAAGAATGAAACTGGTGGAATCACATTATCTGACTTCAAATTATACTACAGAGCTATAGTAATCAAAACAGCATGATACTGGCATAGAAACAGACATACAGACTGATGAAACAGAATAGAGAACCCAGAAACAAATTCACACACCTACAGAGACCTCATTTTCAACAAAGTTGCCAAGAACATATGGGGAAAGGACAGTCTCTTCTATAGATAGTGCTCAGAAAATGGGATATCCACGTGCAGAAGAATAAAACTAGATACCTATCTTTCGCCATATTCAAAAAATCAAATGAAAATGGATTAAAGACTTAAATATAAGACTTCAAACTATGAAAGTGCTAAAAGAAAACATTGGGGAAACTCTTCAGGACATTGGTCTGAGCAAAAATTTCTTGAGTCATACCACACAAGCACAGGCAACCAAAGCAAAAATGAACAGCCAGGATCACATTAAGTTAAAAAACTCCTGCACGGCAAAAGAGACAATCAACAAAGTGAAGAGACAACACACAGAATGGGAGAAAATATTTCAAACCAGTCATCTGACAAGGGATTCATAATCAGAATATATAACCAGCTCAAACAACTTCATTTAAAAAAAATCAAATAATCCAATGTTAAAATGGGCACAAGATTTGAATAGACATTTCTCAAAATAAGACATACAAATGGCAAATAGGCCTATGAAACAGTGATCAACATCACTGACCATCAAAGAAATGCAAATCAAAACTACAATGAGATATCATCTCACCCCTGTTAAAATGGCTTATATCCAAAAGACAAGCAATAACAAATGCTGGCGAGAATATGGAGAAAAGGGAACACTTGTACACTGTTGGTGGGAATGTAAATTAGTACAACCACTATGAAGTACAGTTTGGAGGTTCCTCAAAAAAACTAAAATTAAGCTACCATATAATCCAGCAATCCCACTGCTGGATATAGGCCCAAAAGAAAGGAAATCTGTGCATCAAAGAGATGTCTGCATTCCCATGTTTGTTGCAACACTGATCACACTCGTCAATATTTGGAAGCAACCTAAATGTCCATCAACAGACGATTGGATAAAGAAAATACGGTACATCGCAATGGAGTACTATGCAGCCATAAAAAGGATGCCATTTTGCAACAACATGGTTGGAACTGGAGGTTCTTATGTTAAGTGAAATAAGTCAGACACAGAAATACAAATTTCACATGTTCTCACTTACTTTAGGGTCTAAAAATCAAAACAATTTAACTCATGGAGACAGAGAGTAGATGGATGGTTACAAGAGGCTGAGGCTGGGAAAGATACTGGGGGGTGGGAGAAGAGTGGGGATTGTAAATGGTTACAAAATATATACGTAGTTATAAAGAATGAATAAGACACTATTTGATTGCAAACAGGGTGACCATAGACAATAAAATTTCAATTGTACATTTAAAAATAATTAACAGAGTATAATTGTAACATAAAGTATAAATGCTTGAGGGGATGGATAGCCCATTTTCTATGATATGATAATTGCTTATTACATGCCTATAGGAAACTATCTAACATATGTCATAAATATGCATACCCACAATGTACCCACAATTTTTTTAAAAAACCAGGTTACCCAAGCCAGAAATCCAGGAGCCAGCCTTGACTTCTCTCTCCCTCACACCAAAATCCAATCAGTCTTGATTTCTGTTGATTTTAATGCACCCAATGCCTTATTTCAAATCCCCATCACCTTTCACTTAGACCAGAGTCAGAGTTCCGAACTAGTCTCTTTGTCTTTATTTCTTTCTGCCTCCATAATCAGAGTTCTCCTTTCTTAGAAAGATCCTCCAGTGGTAATCCACCACCCATAGCAGTGGTTTGTAATCATTTTTACAGCAGATCAATGTTATTTTCAAGTAAATATCATATAAAAGCCTAATATCTATAAATAGATATGAGCTGTATTTTATTGGGATGAACTTACTTTATAAGATATAAATGTATGACTTTATAAACCATTAAGAACATAATAGGGAGGTTTGGCAAAATTTAAAAATTCAAAATCATCAGCAATGCAAAGATCAGCATCGTTTTGATATTTATTTCTCTATTTTATTTTATTGGACATATTTTTTAAAATTCTGATTCATATCATTAGGTAGCTACCAGTAATAATAGTTTATTGCTTTTTCCAAGAAGTTCAACTTTCAAACTTAAAGTATTGTTCATTCAAAAAAAGATAGTTCCACTCTCACTGCTTCACTTGGCTAGCCTTTAAAAAATAAATTAATTAAATAAATAAATAAAGATAGCAAGATGCAAATACTTATGAGTTAACCTGTCAGTACATATCACTTGGTTTCTGGTTTTTACTTGGTTAAAATGTGGTACGTAGTATTTAGTTTGAGTGTGTATTTAAGATCTGTTTGTTTATTTTTTTTTTAATGAAAGTCAAAGCAAACATTTGTGTAATCCTTCAGTCTCTTCCTTAGAACCTTGTTACCATGGAATAGAGTTTGAAAACCAGTGATCTAAATTCTAAGCCCCAAATCCTTTAGTATTTAGCATGAAAATGTAAGATCCCATTTCATTTGGATTTTATCAATCTAGCTGCATTTCCCACCAGTGCCAAATTTTCACCCAGTTTCCTAACTCTATCATCATCTTTCATAGGGTTATAGTTTTACACTAGTTATTTTCTCTGCCAAATGTGACTCCTGAACTACTGTCTTCTAACCTGAATTTCTATCAAATTAATTCCAAAGTTAAAAGATTAACTCTCTATGATGCTCTCTTTGAATGTGCTCACAGGACCTTGTATACACTTCTATCTTAAACTTGTGTTGTCTTGTTTGATAATCATCACTTCCTCTCAACTGTGAGCGCCTAAGAAGGGACAATTTAACTATCCTGGAGTTCTCAGGGACTTTCAACATGCCTGCAACCTAGTAATCATTCCTTAAATGTTTTAAATTCATAAACTCATTTATTAATATTAATAACAAGTAGAGTAGCTAAAACTGTGGATTTGCATCAAGCTGTCAACAGATAATCCTCTCATTGATTGACACTTTAGGTTAAATAAGTACTAAGTAGAAATCACTCTTCTAAATCATGCTAATTTTCATTTTAACTTCATTTTTCTTTAATAATGGCCTCACTCACCAACATAGGAAAGCAGGATCACCAGCAAGAGAATGACAGCACAGATACATGGAATCAGGATCAGCAATAGGAACCGGAGGAGGTTAGAAGTCGCCAGCTTCTGAGAGCAGCCATCGCCCATGTTATTGTCATCAGCTCGCAAAACCTAAAGTAAAGAAGGAAAATGCAAAATGGTTTTAATACTACACAACAATTCACTGCATGCTATGACATTTTAGATTAACAGCTATTTATTTAGAACAGCATAATTCCAAAAAGACCACTGTTTGTGCTTTAGGGTATGAAATGAGCTTAGTCACCAACTCACGCCAATAAATGAACAGATAACTATACAGAGCAAACTATCTATTTCTGAAACATTTTTCAGGAATATATGAACTTTAAACAATATCCCATTTTGCTTTTTTAAAACGTAGTTGTCAATTTGGTATGATTCCAAAGGCCTGTGAATGACCATGACAAAAGCTTACCCTGGCCTAGAGCTATGATAGAAGTGAAGACTGCTCAATACAGTAATAAAAAATTGGTAAGTAGCTATAGACAGGATATTATCCAGACTTCATTCTTTTTTGTCTCATTAGTCTAAGCCAAAACAAAGAATCTGGATAAAATAAGTTTTGGGTCATTAATAATTCAGCCAGCCTCACTGTTACTGACCATGCATTTAGTGACAAGTTGAAACATAAGGAAGAGTCTGCCCTGATTGCCAATTAAACACTAACAACTCTGAGGACATCCTCAGCCGTCCATGCTGCCCCTACGGCCCATCCATTGTGAGAGGATGATAAAGTGCAACAATGATGGTTCAGATAAAGTTCTTGTCTTCAAATGCTTCAAATTTTGCTTAGTTCAATCTCTTGCCAGAAATGGTATCTGGAAACTCATTTATTACAAATGGCTGGCTTAGAGCAATGACATCTTCAAACGACATCTGAGATGGTACTAAAAGGGCTTTGAACCACTACAAGAAACTTTCCTGGTCTTCTTAACGAAGGCATTTCTCATGACTCTCTCTTGGACTTCTGACGCATTTTCTCCTCTGACAGTTTCAGAACTTGGACTGTAACCTCGGTGTAACTAACTCCTGAATCTCTCCTGCATGCTGAACTCCCTCCAGAGTTACGCCATATACTTCCAGTGCCTGGTGGTTAGCAGCACCTCTTCCCAACAAGTCCAAAACTAAGATGAACCGTTTCTGTCTCTCTATCTTCACACTAGTTCTCCTGACTTCCATATTTGTGTTTACAGAAATTCCTTCATTCTAATAACCCAAATATTCCCCATTTCATCATCCCCATATGCCATACATCACCAGGTTTTGTTGGTTCTTCCTCTGTAATAAATACCAAACTTTTTATTTTTTGAAATCAATGAGCTTTGAGAAAGGCCCTTATAATAAGTTGTCCTAACAGAATGGTCCTGTAATATTCTCAGGAATTCCTGACTAGTATTTGATTATTTCCCATGGATGCAAAGGCAATTTTGATGGGTTCTTCTCAATTACAAGGCATATATGATTCTCCATTTCTGCTTTATTCCCCCTACATAAGAATATGGGTTCACTAACCTATATTGCAAACTGTGTTCACCACCTAATATGATTATACCTTCTGTAATTTTAGGAATTCTCCATGACAGACATTATTTGAAATAACTTATGTTGTTAACTTCAGAAGAGCTTCATTTTCTAGGTTAATGTCTTACTGATCCATTTCCTCTGTACCTAGTTTAAGCTATCAGCCAATGTGTTATCATTTACAATTAATTTATAATTGATCTTCAAGAAGACATAGCACTGGCACAATATAATATGAGATCTGCAACAGCATATGGATTACAACACTAACATTGGACAAGCAGTACACTTTCAGGCTTGTATACAACACTTATCTACAAAAAAAATATCAGCAAATAAATAAAAGTGTGGGACTAGGCCAACAAAGATAGTGACAGAAACAAATTGTTGATTTTACTTAGTTATTGAACACCTACTAATTATAATAATAGTGATGGATGTGACAATGACTTTAAGCCACTGTCCCTCAAAAGCTCACAGTCTTGTAGGAGGATGATATGTACTTGAATAACATAACTAAAGTGCAAGGTAGCAAATGATAAGCACCAAGAAACTTATAGCTAAAGTGACATAAGAATTCAAAAGATAGAAATATGATTTCTTGCTGTAAGATCACATAAGACATTGTAGAGAGAGCAACCCTGAATCAGCCATAATTCTGAGAAAAGTACCCCCGAAAAGGTCTGTTATGGGTTTTAAAAAGCTGCAAAATATCTACAGAGAGGTAAGAAAGTGTGAAATGTATTTAACTTCTGCAACAATGAAGACACTTCCTTGCTAAGGTGGCCACAGATGCATTATAGTGATAATGTCGGGTGATGAATTCACAATGGCTCATTGCCATCCGGACTCCTGGAGCCAGATACATCCCATTTAGCATTCATACTTAAAGTATCAGTGGAGAAAATGATAGAGGCTCATTTTAATATCTCAGCAAAGTATATATCAACAAGTACTGGACCTCCAAAAACCATACTCATGATTAGACCAAATATTTTCTCAGTGACAAGAACATTGATTGCTTTTTTCAAAGGGAGAGGAGGAAGAAATACACAGGAGACATCAGCACTTTCTTCTTTAATAGCTTGCATAACTTTCCTCTTGCACTCATGGCCGCTTAGGACTGTTGCAAATGCTACATTATACACGGGCCCTTGGAGATTCCACTGAACACAAGGCAACTCTCAAACTTCACTGTTGAGTAAATGCCAGGTGAAATAAACAACCATATCATCCTTAAGCTTTGTTTCAATGGACTCTAAATGATCCTCTCTCCAAAGGGCATCCCTCTTCCACAAGCACCTTCCCCAGCCTTGAAACTAAGCCGAGCACAGGCACAGAATTCCATGGCTAGGGCAGGGAACAACACATCTCATTGGACCTGCACCTATTCATAAAGCATGTCATTCTTATGATTTTGTTGTTTTTATTTTCGGTTTTGGTTTTTGGGTTTTCTGTTATTGTTTTGTTTTGAGACAGGTTCTCACTCTGTTACCCAAGTGGAAGTGCAGTGACATGATCTTGGCTCATGGCAACCTCTGCCTCCTGGGCTCAAGTGGTTCTCCTGCCTCAGCCTCCTGAGTGACTGGGATAACAGGTGTGCACCATCCATCGCTCCCATCTAATTATTTTGTAGGGACAGGATTTCACCATGTTGCTCTGGCTGATCGCAAATGTCTGGGCTTGAGCAATCCACCCAACTTAGCCTCCTAATTGTTCTTATGTTTTAGTAATCTTGTTAGTGAAAATCTGTTTCTCGCATCTTAAGAACAGGCCAGGCACGGTGGCTCATGCCTATAATCCTAACACTTTGGGAGGCTGAGGTGGGTGAATTGCTTGAGCTTTGGAGTTTGAGACCAGCATAGGCAACATGGTGAAACCCCGTCTCTACTAAAATACAAAAAATTAGCTGGGCGGGGCAGCGTGCATCTGTAGTCCCAGCTACTCAGGAGGCTGAGGCAGGAGAATCAATTGAACCCGGGAGGCAGAGGTTGCGGTGAGCCAAAATCGCTCCACTGTACTCCATGGAGGACAGAGCGAGACTCCGTCTCAAAAAAAAAAGAACTAATTATTTAAAAAGCTGTCATGTTGTTTTGTATAACGTACACTGACTGGCACAATATGCCACTGTGCCACAATCCTAATGCCATCTTGGTGTCATCTGAGAGGCCAGAATTTCAGATAGCCAGTTCCTCCTTCTTGAAGCACTTTCTTCCTTTGGCTTCTCTTTCTCCTACTTCTCTGGTCATTCTTTTTCTTTTCGGAGGCTCAGTTCTCACATTCACTTGCTCCCCAGGTAATGTCACCACATATATAACTTCAATCAGCAGCCCTCTATGGGTGACTTGCATCTTTAAACGATAACCACAGATCTTTCCTCTGATCTCCAGACCATTATATGCAACTGACCACTTGACATCTTCTCATTGGATGTTGCAAAAGTAACTCAAACCCAACAAGTCTGAAACCAAATAAACAATTTTCATCCCCATATCTGGTATTCTTCCAGGGTTTGCTATCTCAAAAAAAAAAGGTAATTTCACAGCTATATTTGTCAGGCATTGTTTGGGCACTTGGGATATATTAATATGCAAAACGAAACTCATAGATGATACATTTTAGTAAAAATAAACATCACGTCCCACCTGAAATGCTACAAATGCCTCCTCCTGTCTGGTTTACCTATATTTATCAATGCACTCCCTAACCTGTTCTCCATGCTATAGCCAGAATAAGAAAGAGGCTGTATTATCTTTGGATGATGGAGAGAAGACAACATGAAAAATGACCCCAAAGCTGAACTAATTCAAGAACGCAGAGCCTGGAACCAGAGCTGATCATGAGAACCATGCACCCACAGGATGTGAGGGGGCTTTGGATTTACACAGCGTGTACGAGGTTTTGAGTCCATTTTATCAAGTTTGCAAAGGTCAAGGAGACCATCGTTGACATTTCAAGTACATAAGTCTTTACCCTCTTTTACCTTCAGGCAGCATTTGACTCTGTCAACACATGGTACATTCTTAAGGGCACTTCCACAGCTGCAAATGGCAGAGAATATTTGAGAGCTTGTTTGGAGGTTCTAGCAGGGGAGTGAAGCTACTTGAATACCCTTGACCAAAGATGGGTCCTCATTTATCTGGGATGGTCATCCTCTTCGACCAAGCAAACAGCTTCAGGAAGGACACACATGGAGTGGTGAGGGAGGAAGGGGACACCTGCCTAGCCAGCCAGATCAGCTGAATCAACCCTGATAATCAATGGGGTGACAGATGTCACAGCCAAACTGTCCTCACATCCAACAGAAACTATTTGAATACAAGGAGCTAGAGTCCTGTCAACACCTCAGACAGAAGAGTTACTCCCAAGGCCAGAGCTAGGGCTTACCAAAGAGCCAATGAACCAGATATCTCTGACTAGTGGTTTTAGGTGGGTTTGTCCAGATAATCCTTGGAAGTGGGAATAGCTGCCAACAACCAGGTTACCCTAAAGCAGGAGTTCACCCCAGAGAAAACCAAGTGAGAATTATTTTCTAATTGGTTGGGCTATCTTTTGGGATAAATTTTACA